CCCAGGCCCAAAGTTCAGGCCCCACAACCAGACACACCCCGCCCCGCAAAAAAAAGAAGTCACTTAAGGCAGCTGCCTCTCAACTCCCTTACACAACATTTTTCCTCAGCTGTGGGAAGGGGAATGGGCAAGCAGATGGGAGAAAGAAAGGGAGAGGATGCCTCTTGGGGACTGGGGGTGGGGATTCAGCATAGTTCCACAATTGAACCAGCAGGGGAGCAGGACTGCCAGGCAACTCTGAGGGCTCTTAGGGAAGTCTCCTGTGGAGCACAGGAAGAAACATCCGGCCTACAGCAGCATTAGGGAGGGTTAATGTGTCTCAGGAGGGAAGGATGCTACCACCCTGGAACCTCTGAATTTGGGCACAGTGGGATCCTAGCAAAGCAATGACTTGGGAGAAGGTTGTGCCTTACCAAAACTTAAGGTGACTGTTAAGGTTTTGTGGTTTTCACAGCACAAATTTGACCTAATGTCTTCTTATTTTCTGATTTTTTAAGCAGCAGGTCAAAAAAGACAAGCTCAATCTACCATGATTAGTTTTAATCACTACAAATATACTATACTAACTTCTCCTGGCACATGTCTCATAAAGAAACAGTCAAGACCCAGGCACTGGTGGCTCATGCCTGTAATCCTAGCTATTCAGGAGGCTGAGCTCTGGGCACTGTGGTTCAAAGCCAGCCCAAGCAGAAAAGTCTGAACCTCTTGTCTCCAATTAACCACCACAAAGCAGGAAGTGGAGCTGTGGCTCAAGTGGTAGAGCACTACTAGGCTTGAGCAAAAGAAACTCAGGGACAGTCAGGTCCCCAGTTTAAGCCCCAGGACTGGTGTGCGTGCACACCACACCACACTGCATCACACACGCACACACACACACTCACACAGAAATGGTTGAGAGGTTCCTGAATGCTGGCCATATTTCACCACTTGCAGGAAATGCTGCTATACTCATATACAATGATAATGACCATGCTCACTCCATACTTATGCTAGATACTTTAGCACATGAATTAAGTATTTATTGGGTATTTTTTCCAAAAACTTTACACAACATTCTCACAATAAGCTAGTGTGGTTGTGGTTCCTAGTTTACTCATCTCTATGTAACAGATGAGCAAACTGAGACTTAAGAGAGGCAAAGTAATCTAACCGAACTTGCACAGCTAACCAAATGCTGGAGTCATGATTTGGTTAAAAGCCAATCCTGAAAATTTGGCTTTTGAACCTGTGTGTCTAGTCTTCTATTTTTTTAAAAAGTTAAATGATCTTGGAGCTAAGATTTCTAGATTTTCCAATGTACACATTTAAATATTACCATCGACAAATATGTCCAAAATTTGCTTGATCCAACATCAGCAAAAGATTTAGATTTTGAGACTGTAGCTCAGATCCTCTCACAAATACATTTAGAAAACCCTGATTTAAGGGAGTGAACAACTAACGCCAGCCTTGAGTATCTGGAAATCTAACTTCTTGCTCTATGTCTCTCATTGTGAGTCTTTGGACAGCTACTTCTTAATATCCCCCACTATCTGCCTCTCACTGGCATATTGTAACAGGACAGGAAATTTCCCCTTCATAGGGAAATCTGTTGCTTAAAATGCATTCAGTAAAGCTGGATGCCAAAGGCCTGGATGCCTAGCTACTCAGAGGCTGAGATCGGAGAATTGAGGTTTGAAGCCAACCAAGGTAATAAAGTCCATGAGAGAGGCTAGGAAGGTGGCTCAGTGGTAGAACGCTTGCCTTGCATGCATGAGGCCCTGGGTTCGATTCCTCAGCCCCACATAAGCAGAAAAAGCCAGAAGTGGCACTGTGGCTCAAGCAGTAGAGTACTAAGCCTTGAGCTGAAGAGCTCAGAAACAGTGACATGGCCCAGAGTTCAAGTTCCACAACATAAAATAAATAAAGTCCACGAGACTCTTATCACAATTAACTACAAAAAAACAAACAAAAATCCAGGAGTTGTAGCTCAGCCTGAGTAAAAAAGCTAAGGGACAGCAGCCCAGGCCCGGAGTTCAAGCCCCAGTACTGGTACAATAAATTAAAAAGAGAGAAAAATGAAAAGAAAGGAAAACCAGAGAATGTGAGAAAGAAAAAAGAATTTACAGTTAAATCTTTATGATTTGGTTTGCATGTATGCAGGTATATTATCATGTATTTTTTTTAAGCTTGGCCTTCTTTGAAAGGCCTGCAGCACACCTGTCCTCTAGCCTCCCCAGATAACATGGATACACATTCCCAAACCAGGCTGCTTTCTGACCGACATTAGGCTGCTCCCTCTGGGATCTGATCTCAGCTCAGCCCAACAATGAGAAACTTTTTTCTCATCTCCCTCAGGGGAACCTTCCCGTTTATCCAATTCATTCTCTTGCAACTCAACTCTCCAAAAAGAAGAGGGAGGGAATCCCACTCCTAAGAGACGGGTCTTCAGGTCTGAGGATGTTACTTAGCAACCGCACAAAGACCAGTGTGCAAAGGGGGACCTGGAGAGAAAACTCTTGGGTGGGGAGACAGAACCAGTTTGAAAACTCCATTTCATCTGGAGAAAAACCAAGGAAAACACAAACAGAATGAGTGACCAGAAAAGCCAAGGGGGTGGGGGGAGGGAGGGAGGTGGAGGGTTGGGGGGGGCGGTTTTCTTTCCAGCCCAGGTCATCTCCTTACATCCTGATTCTACACTCCTGTACACTCCAGTGACCAAGTCCTGCCCGGGTCTCGCTCCTGGCCCAGGTGCCCTTCCCTTGCCCTGGGCTGACCCTGCAGGCTTGGAGTCAGGGTCCCCAAATCTCCCCAACACCCACCGTTCTCAGGTGCGTTGGGACCTTCGCAGTCCGAGATTAATTGCTGGGGTTTCCGCTGCTTTCGTCGAGACATCCCGGGTGGAGAGAGGTGGAGTGGGAGGGACGACCCTCACTTAAGTCTCAGCCGGGTAACCTGGTCCAGTCTCTCGCTTTGGGTCTGAAGCCTATGGACGCTTCTTACAAATCACCGTGAAGTAGAGATGGTCTCCCTTTACCAGAGACAGATTCTCTTCGACTCAGTTCCAGACTCTCTCCCTTCCCCTCCCTCTCTCTCTCCCTCCCTCTCTCTCTTTCTCCCACTCTCCTCCCCTCTCCTCTTCTCTCTCTCTCTCTCTCTCTCTCTCTCTTCAAGTCTTTAAAGGGGAGACGCCCCCTTTTTTTCTTCAGCTTCTGCAGCTCCTATTGTAAAAGCAAAAATCCTAATCTTTCGCACACTCTTTTCTTTTGTACTGCAGAGGAAAGGATTTAACCCTCTCCTCCCTGCAAGGGCTCGGCCTCACCCTGCGTTGTCCGGAGTTTTGCCCTGGTTTGTTTTCCTAATTCTAGCAAGATCTTCAAAGCTACTTTTCGTTCTTTCCATGATTCTATGTTCCTCTATTTGATCGAGTGGCTGCTCCTGGGATATGAATCAAAACAAGAACTCTCTAGTATATTCTGATCATGAGATACTCAAGTGAAAATAAGAATATGAAATCTTGCCCAAGCCCAGAGTTCAAGCTCCACGATCGACCAAAAAGAAAAAAAGAATATGAAATCTTGGCAGAAAGCCTCCATTTTCCTAACAGTCCTGACCTTATCTCAAGACAGATAAATACTATAATAATAGTTTAGAATATATATAACTTTTGAAAATTTTTACATTTTCATTTACATGACATATTTTGGGGATGAAAACAGATCATCCCAGGTTTTACTATTCCTATGTATATGGGACCCCTTTATAGAGAAATCAAAAAGATTCAATAAAGTTAGGTAAGAGACCTAGTCAAGATTATAGCACTATGATAGACAGAAGAGTGAGAGAGAGATAAAGAGAGCTCTGGGTCCTGTGGATTTGTATTTTTTTTAATCTGTATAGATAAAGATATAACTTGCCATCAACCTACTAAAATGGGGGGAAACAAGTGAGGTATTTTGGAGTTTTATTTAAAATAGCATCAAGACCAGTGGCTTTCTGTCCCTCCCAATCCTCTTTGAGTCTCAAGATGGTCTGTACCCCTCTGAGAATATGGCAGACCATGTCCTGGTTCCCCTAGGCAAAAGCTTAAGATAATACTTATAGCTCCAGACTGCCTTTCTTTCTTCCTTCCTTTCTTTCTTTCTTTTTTCTTTCTTTCTCTCTTTTCTTTTTGTTGGTCATGGGGTCCAGACTTTCTTATAGAAACAGACTTTCTGATAATATGATAGACTTTGTTGTGAATTCCTGAGCTTTCTTCAATATATTCACAGACAGGTTGAAATTCATTATGAGGGATTCTGTGCCTTTCCTTATGGAAATGAAAAATGAAATTGGACCTGTAAGAACTCAGGAAGAAGAAGAAGAAGAAGAAGAAGAAGAAGAAGAAGAAGAAGAAGAAGAAGAAGAAGAAGAAGAAGAAGAAGAAGAAGAAGAA